TAAGTAAAATTATCAGTAAGGGTCCAAAAAAAACAAACAAAAAACCACCAGTTCTATTGGCAGAAAAAAGCGCTCATATAGAGAATTTTGGACAGGCGTTTAGGAGCACTTAGCATTTTTTTTCTGCTTCTCAAAAATGCAAACCAGAAGGTGTTTTTTTTTTTCCTGCCTCTGAATGCCAAGCTTAAAATATGCCTAATGTCCTAATGTGCATGGACACAGGATGTCATTAAGCTGCTTCTACAAGCAAAAACAGAAAACTGTAGAAGCAGTGTCTTTTTAAGTCCACTGTGCATGGACCCTACAAAAACTTTAAAGCAACCCATCCCTGACCTCTGTAGCTGCTTTTAATCTGGTGTTATTCCTTCTCAAAGATCACAACATAAACTTTAAAGTTGGATTTCATGTAGTTTCTGGCAGCTTAAAACATTCTTTGTCAACCGTTTTACCCTGCAGGAATCCTTACAAAATGTAGGCAGTCTTGGGGAGCCCTACATTTTTTGTGAGCTACAGATTTAGGGTACATAAGTATGATAAGCGAGTTGTAGATACACTAAAATGTGTTTCTTTCATGTGAAATCTGGGATGACTTTGGTGTTCCGTGACATCACTAACTTGTGTTCTGATGGTATAGCTGGCAGATGTCACCCATTTTTGGTTCTTTTATAGAAATAATTTAGTGTGCATAATCTAGGCACAGGTTCACTTCAGATCTAATACCTATAGTTCTAGTTTGTTCTGAAAAATTGTAGAAAGGAACACTTGAATGAGTCTTTTTACAGACAGTTGAAAACCTTTTTAACCAACGACCTAGTAGTACTAAGAAGTAAATGCTGCTGTACTTATAATATTTTTTATTGATTGTATGTAGTTGTGACCAGAAGGAAATATTTTTTGGCAGGTGGTTTCTTTTTCCATTAACAGTTTACTCCTATAAATCAAGTTTTTGCCTCTGTTTTGCAATGTATGTTAGGTATTTGCAGCCGGTATTATCTGCTGGCAGCCTTTGCAAATTGCCGGTAGGTAAATCTGATCAGGATCTAGTCTGCAGTTGCACTCTGCAAGGACATTTATTCCAGAGCTTAATAACTGAGGCTGCGTTGCCTTCTAATATCCAATCATGTGCAAGCAAAAAATGGTGTGTTTTTTTTTTTTTTTTTTTTTTTCATTTTCCTTGCATGTGATTGGTTATTCTTTTCAAAGTGAAGCTTCGCCGAATTTACCTGCAAAGTGCACAGTGTATTCACCTTTAGAAAATCAACCCCTAGAGTGCTAGAGTACTGCAATTTTTAAGTGCTTTTTAAATTTTGCATTTGTAGTGTTTTTAGTGCTGCACCAACCTATATTAATGTTTAGACAATGCAAATCTGCTTTAACCAATTTATGTCTGCCCATAATGCACTGCGGACAGGTGGCTGCTGTAGACAAAGCGACATACAGGTACGTCTCTGCCTTCTTCGGGGTTTTGGGCGCACGCCTCACCCGCCGGCATCCATTGTGATTGTGCACAGCAGGAGCCTGTCAGCAAGTCCCAATGATTCTTGGCTAGGACCTGCTAATCAACTGTGTACAATTACAGCCCAGAGCTCTGTGTTGGTAAACAACACAGAGCCGTGAACAGAAGGAGTGATCTGTCAGTTTCTCATCCCTGCATGATAACCCCTTACCCAGCCAGTGTCAGTAGTACAGTGACAGTTTAAAGTATTATCAATGATCACTGTATTAATGTCTCTGGAGATGTTCGTGGCAGTTGGAGGCAGATTGCCTGCCGCAGGCCCAGTATAAGTTACTGATCACCGCAATTAGTAGTATTAAAACAAAATAAAAAATACCGTATACAGTTGTGTTCAAAATAATAGCAGTCAGACATCACTAACCTGATCAATCACTGTTTTTGGTGGAAATGATATTTCTACATGGCAAATAATTTACTAGCAGGTGTAGTAGAGTAATAGAAATCCAACTGACCCAACAGTCATGACGTGCATGCTGCTGATTCTGTGTAATTGAATCACTAATTGAAAGGGGCATGTTCAAAATAATAGCAGTGTGGAGTTCTATTAGTGAGGTCATTCATTCTTTGAAAAACAGGTGGCAATTATTGCCCTTATTTAAGGAAGGAAGGCAGCAAATGTTGTACATGCTGGTTACAGTGTATTTCTCTCTGAAATTCTGAGGAAAATGGGTCGTTCCAGACTTTGTTCAGAAGAACAGCGTACCTTGATTAAAAAGTTGATTGGAGAGGGGAAAACATCTAAAGAAGTGCAGAAAATGATAGGCTGCTCATCTAAAATGATCGCAAATACTTTAAAATGGCAACCAAAACCTGAAAGACGTGGAAGAAAGCGAAAAACTACCATTGGAATGGTTAGAAGAATAGCCAAAATGGCTAGGACTCAGCCAACAATCGGCTCCATGAAGATCAAAGAAGGTCTAAAGTTACTAAGGTCTAAGCATCATGATATGGGGATGTTTCTCATACTACGGTGTTGGGCCTATTTATCGCATACCAGGGATCATGGATCAGTTTGAATACATCAGAATACTTGAAGAGGTCATGCTGCCTTATGCTGAAGAGGAAATGCCCTTCAAATGGGTGTTCCAACAAGACGACGACCCCAAACACACCAGTAAACGTGCAACATCTTAGTTCCAGACCAACAAGATTGACGTTATGGAGTGGCCAGCCCAATCCCCGGATCTTAATCCAATAGAAAACTTGTGGGGTGACATCAAAAATGCAGTTTCTGAGGCAAAACCAAGAAATAGAGAAGAACTGTGGAATGTAGTCCAATCATCCTGGGCTGGAATACCTGTTCACAGGTGCCAGAAGTTGGTTGACTCCATGCAACACAGATGTACAGCAGTTCTCAGAAACAGTGCTTATACAACTAAATATTAAGTGATTCAAAGGAAAGCAAAATCTTCAAACATTTTTCAGTTTATATAGTGAATGTTTGAGTTTGTAAAGAAGAGTACAAACACTGCTATTTTTTTGAACAATCTAATATTCACTTTTCTTCAATTTTTTTAGAGGAACAACACATTTGCTATATTTTTCTTCATGTTTTGATTTGGAATAGAATGTGTAGTGTTCCCAATGCATTTGTGTGTATGGAAATAAAAGTTATTAGAAGGATTTAAGCTTTATTCACTTTTTTCAACACACTGCTATTATTTTGAACACAACTGCATATACTATAGTTTGTAGGCACTATAACTTTCATGCAAACCAATCAATATACACTTAATGGGATTTTTTTTTTTCATTAAAGACATGTAGAAGAATACATTTTGGCTACAATTTATGAAGAAAATATATTTTTTTTATTTTTATTAGCAGAAAGTAAAAAAATATTGGTTTCCTTTCACAATTTTCAGTCTTTTTTAGTTTGAATCGCAAAAAAAAATAAAAAAAAAAAAAACCCAATAGTGATCAAATACCACCAAAAGAAAGGTCTATTTCTGTAAAAAAAATGCTATAAAATTTGGGCACAGTATTGCATGACCATACAATTAGCAGTTAAAAACGCACAGTGTGGTAGAGCAAAAAATGCCTGGTCATGATGGGGGGTAAAATCTTCTGCTGCTCAATTGATTAAAGTGACACAACTAGAAAAAAAAAAAAAAAAAAATAATTTATTATATCTGACCCTGATGTCCAGGTGTTGTTGCAGAAAGTCCCTATTGGTCCATCTGATTAACACGGCTAGGGTCTGTGTAGCTCAAACGTGGGAGTGTACTGAACCTCCCTTGGTAGGTAAGTGGTTTGCTGTAATCGGGAGACCCAATTGATGGAGGACCTTACTGCAGCCTTGACGCAAAGGGAGGAACAGCAACAGAAGACTTGGTGTTGTTGGACAGCTATCTCTGGCTCTCAAGCCTGACACACATATCTTACTAATGATGGTTAGTCCTGAGTGGATCTCAGAGTGCGTGGGATCCCCATTGGGGGATACCTTGATGTATCTCACAGTGCTCGATAATACACTTCTCACATTGTAGGGTACTTCCTATAGACACCACAATGTTTTCCCCTTTGTGCGCTGGATATCCCTGTAAGGATTTCTCCCTCCTTCAGCTGCTCAAAAAATCCCTTGCATATTCCTTAAACGTTCCCAATCTCCAAACCTCAAATGCAACCTTTCTTCTGGCCTCTTCTCCCTTCAGGGATTTTTTGAGCTGCTGAAGGAGGGAGAAATCCCTGCAGGGATATCCAGCGCACAAAGGGGAAAGCATTGTGTCTATAGGAAGTACCCTACATCCATCCTAGACTGCAGCAATTTTGGCAGGTTCCAGGATATTTATTAGGCATAGAAAGAGGTGAGCGTACATCTTAATTGATTGAAGGATTCACGGAAAGTCACTATTTGATGTTTTTGATCACTTCATCACTATTATTGGACTATTATTTGAATAATGGGACTATTATTTTGATTCTTCTTTTTTAAATCACGATCACACAATTTGTATTTAATTATCTGTCGATTATTTATTCTGATTAATTAGTTTTTGATTGTAGTCACTCATTATATATTTTATCTTGGTAGTTTGGAGCGCAACATTTACTGATATATGATTTGATCACCTGTGTGGTTTTTTTATTTTTTGCGTTAACAAAAAAAGACTGACAATTTTGAGGAAAAAAACTGTATTTTTGACTTTTTGCTATTTACACATGTCCAGTAAAAAAAAATTAATTTCGTCATAATTTCACACAATGCTCCTTCCAAAAAGTAGTGGAAAAAGAAGAGCTCGCGGAGAACTTTACAAGGAGACAGGAAAATATAGAACGAAACAATTTCATAAAAAATAGATTAGAGCCATTAAGGTATTGTTTAGTGTCTGTTTACTGTAACTTCACACTTTCAACTTGAGAGGATCAAAGACAATATATTTTTATAGTGGACATCTGATTACCTTTTTAAACATATACAGTGTTCACATTATCTTTAAACAGGTTGACCGGTTTATATAGTTATTTTGCTGCTTTCATCTAGGTGGAAGAATCATTAGAAAGAAGAAAGTTAGAGAAGCAACAGGAAGAAGAGGACAATTCTGTAGAAATCTCCAACCTCGTTGAAGGAGACCTTCTTTCTGAAAACCCCGCCCCCAGCAATAAATGCATTTGGCCCACATCGCATAGTTGCTGATCGCTGGAAAGGAATGAGACCAGAACAGCTGGAGGAAATTATTAATGGTCAGCAGCAACAGATACAGGAAAAGATGGTATGGATCATACAAAAAATAGCCAACATATGTCAAAGCCCAGCTCCAAACCTCAGAAACCCATTGAGTGGAATTTACTAGGACTGGAGCAGACAGAATCTGAAGCAGCCGTGCATTGTAACCAATCAACCTATAGCTTTCATTTTCAAAACTTAATTAAATGTGCTGAAGTTAGAAGCTGCATAGTTACTGTGTACAACTGCTCCAGTTTTAGTCAATTCCTCACCATTATTTTTAATACATTTCCAGGGCAAGGTTGCATTTCCATGTTTCAGCCCACATTAGAGAGTGTTAGCTTGATGTAGGTGGGCCCAATCCCACAAAAAAAGAAAAAAACTTTAGTTGTTAGATTCATTGTAACCCCAGAGATACTGTTTAAAAAATTTAGGGGAGGTGGGGGGGGGCCCTTCCTGCCGGAAATCCTTCATACGAAATATCTTATTAGTTCATTTCATAAAATCATCAGAGACTTCACATGTCATTCAACGTTTCATTGGATTTGATTTTTGAATTAATTGAATTTCCTGAATGAAAACCACATTCACTGTTAGAATTTCATTTGTGCAAGAAAAAATTTCCATTTTGCTCCTTTATGTTGATTTGTTGACAGCAAAGCTTTTTTTTTTTTTTTTCTACAGAGACTGAAGGAAGAAGAGAGACAAAGGCAGGCAGAGTGGGACCGCAGAAGGGCACAAGAAGCCCGAGCCATGGTGCTACTTGAAAGACAACAAAAACGTCAGGAGAAGGAACTGCGTAAAGAGCAGGATCACATCAACCTGCAGTTGGCACAGGCCCACAAAGCCCAGTAAGTATCACCATCGTAATTTGAGCAAACTGAACGTGGAAAGTGCAGAACAAATGATGTTTGTCCATTTACCCTATATAGAATAAAGTTTGTGGACATCTGATAATCACAACTTCCTGAATGGTCTAAAGTATGTAGAGATCCCTCAAAATAATCATGTTCAGGTGTTTCCAGTGAGGGATATAGTTAATGCTACAACCTACAAAACCATTTTAAACAGTTGTGCACATTCAGCCTTTTGTTGTAATTGTTTTGGGAAGGCCCTTTTTGTTCCAGCATAATTGTGCCCCTCTGCACAAAGCCAGCTCAATAAAGACATGGTTTGACCAGATTGTTATGGAATGGATATTCAACAAGTTCATGTAGCTGTAAAAGTCATGTTCCCACAAATGTTTCTCTATATACACCCTGTTCCAAATTATTATGCAAATTCTATTTAAGTGTCACAAAGATTAAATATTTTGTTTTTCAGTTTAACTCATGGATGATATTGTGTCTCAGGGCTCTTTTGATCACTGAAAACAATCTCGGACACCTGTGATAATTAGATTGGCCGGTGAACCCAATTTAAGGAAAAACTACTAAAGGAGGGTGTTCCACATTATTAAGCAGAGCACCATTTTCAAGCAATATGGGGAAGAAAAAGGATCTCTCTGCTGCCGAAAAGAGTGAAATAGTTCAATGCCTTGGACAAGGTATGAAAACATTAGATATTTCACGAAAACTTAAGAGTGATCATCACACTCTTAAGAGATTTGTGGCTGATTCAGAGCACAGACGGGTTCGTGCAGATAAAGGCACATTGAGGAAGATTTCTGCCAGATCCATGCATTGGATCAAGAAAGCAGCTGCTAAAATACCATTACATAGCAGCAAACAGATATTTGAAGCTGCTGGTGCCTCTGGAGTCCCACGGACATAAAGGTGTAGAGTCCTCCAGAGTCTTGCAACTGTGCATAAACCTTCTTTTCTGCCACCATTAACCAATGCTCACACGCAGAAACAGCTGCATTGGGCAGAAAAATACATGAAGACTAATTTTCAAACAGTCCTGTTCACTGATGAGTGCCGTGCAACCCTGGATGGTCCAAATGGATGGAGTAGTGGATGGTTGGTGGACGGCCACCCTGTTCCAAAAAGGCTGCGACGTCAGCAAGGCGTTGGTGGAGTCATGTTTTGGGCCGGATTCATGGGAATAGAGCTGGTCGGCCCCTTTAGGGTCCCCGAAGGTGTAAAGATGACCTCTGCTTTCCGTAATAAAATCATCTTCATGCACGACAATGCACCATCTCATGCTGCAAAGAATACCTCTGCATCAATGGCTGCTCTGGGGATAAAAGGAGAGAAAATCATGGTTTGGCCTCCACCCTCCCCTGACCTCAATCTTATTGAGATCCTTTGGAGCATCCTCAAGCAAAAGATCTATGAGGGTGGGACGCAGTTTACATCCAAACAGCAGCTCTGGGAGGCTATTCTGACATCTTGCAAACAAATTCAAGTAGAAACTGTCCAAAAACTCACAAGTTCAATGGATGCAAGACTTGGGAAGCTGCTATCAAATAAGGGGTCCTATGTTAAAATGTAACGTGACCTGTTAAAATGTTTAAAAAGTTAAAATGTTGTTTAGAAGTTTTGATTGAAATAGCTTTTGATTTCAATAAATATGCTGCAAACACAACAGATGACAATTTTCAGTTCTTTACAACCTATAAAGTGTTTTGAAACTTACTGTGCGTAATAATTTGGAACAGTGCATTGTAAGTTTATGTTTAAAAAAAATACTGTTCTCATTAGGAAGTTTGTTAAATAAAATTTGAATTGTACTCTTAATAGTTGATAACATGAGAATTATGCTGACTGTTATTTACATCAATTATTTAGGTAAATGAGAAAAATATAAATTTGGAACAGGGTGTAGTGTATGTATCTGCCTTGAACTCTACAGCTGTTAGGGATGAGCTATCCTCTGCATTTTTTTCATATTAGATGATAGTTTATAGTTCTACAAATTAAAGTGCTGTGAGGTCTATCCCATTGCACCACACATGGCCTCTTTTTCATGCAATTTTTCTGCAGCAGCAAAATGCAGCTCAGTCATCGCACTCTTATGAAGCTTGTACAAGCATGTGTAAGTGCAGTTCCACTCCCTGACAAGGGAAATGGTACTGTGAGGAACACATGAGTCCTATACATTACTCCCCATTTTAGTCCTCCTGTCATTTTTTTACTAAACTCTTCCTGTACATGGTCAAACTTCTCTGCAGTTAACTTGCTTAATTAAAGAACCAGAAACCCATTCCTTATTGCCTAATAATATTTAAAGCAGTATTAAACCCATAACTTTAATATACACTGCTCAAAAAAAGGAAAGGAACACTTTGAAAACGTATCAGATCTCAGTGGGGAAAAATATTATGCTGGATATCAATACTGATATGGACTGGTTAATGTGGAACGTAAGGTTGCCCTATCATTTGATGGAAATGAAAATTATCAACCTACAGAGGACTGAATTCAAAGACACCCGGAAAATCCATGTGAAAAAATGATGCAGCGGGCTAGTCCATTTTGCTGATATTTCATTGCAGCAACTCAAAATGGTACTCAGCAGTTTGTATGGCCCCCACATGCTTGTATTTATGCCTGACAATGTCAGGGCATGCTCCTAATGAGACAACGGATGTTTTTTTTCCGTTCAACCTGGTGGGTTTGAACAACAAAAAACCTGAATGTGTGTACCAGGTTTAAGTGACAGCAGGAGCAGGTAGCTTGTATTAAGCTACCTGTCTATGACAAGGGATAATATTATATTACTATCCTGTCTGAAAATCTGCAAAACAGTGTTTTAGGTCTTTTTTTACTTTTTTTTTTTTTTTTTTTTTCTTATTGGAGTAACAATTGTGATCTCTGAGTCTGATAATATGTACCAGATTCCACCTCTAATAGTATATACATCTCTTTTGTCTATTATGAGTTAGATATTTTGTTCCCTAACCATATAGCTGGTTATTTATATTAACCACTGCATATAGATATTCAAGAATATTTTTTTTTTTTTTAACTTTACATAACTAAATTATACACCAAACATCGATTCAATAATAGTTATTCAATTATGAATATAATTGTTAGTTGCAGCCCTAAATTTATTGCAACTTGCCTGTCATTTGATGTGGAGGCTGCATTCGTTTTTTCCCCATCTGTTTTTCACCTTGTGATCTAGCCAGTAACGCACCTTCCTGTATAAAGCCGGCCATGGATGGATTGAAATTAGGCCAGTTCAGCAGGAACCTGCTGAATTTCAATACATGTATGGGCAGGCTAGTTGTACTGGAGTCGATCTCTCAGTCAGCTTCAGTAAAACCAGCCTCATAGGTTTTTATTGCCTGATCACTGTTGGCGGTCTTAGCTGCTAGCAGTGATCATGTTTTCTGCTGGCAGGGAAGGCTCTCTGCGATCCTTGCAAGCAGAATACAATAGCACTGCAGGAGGGATTCCCTCATCAACACAATCCGTTTGTGTTGATGGGGGAATCAAGCAATTTTCTTTAATTCAACTCATGGTTGAAGAAAAGAAAATTGCATAATATATGGCCTCTCTTGAGAGTTCCCCCACTTCTAGATGAAGTTTATTGGAGAGCTTATTCTCTTGAAAAATCAGACTTACTGCCAGGATCACCAGGTGAAAACGAAAGGAAAGCCTAAAATAGAAAACAAATGCAGCCATCACAACAAAGAATTGGTAAGTGACATCATAATAAATGTTCGCTTTTGGGTTTAATGTCGCTTTAACCATCTTTTCTTTTTTTTTTTTTTTTTCTCCCAGGAAAAATTACTTCAACAATGAGGTCTTCACTAATGTGCCAACCGGTGCTTATTTTGACCAGTTTAATACAACTAGCCGATGAAGGTGGAATTAATGAACAATTGTGGAATCCCAAAAATGTGTGCTTGCTGTGGTTCCTTCTATACATATAGTTATTGTACTAAGCATCTGTTTTTCTCATCTTTCTCTTACAAATGTACTGTAAACCAACTGCTGCAAACCTTTTAACTGTGTGTGAGAGATGATGTTTTCAAGACTGCTGCATTTACAACTTCATTGTATGTGTAATGAGAAAAAGAAGTATGGTCCCAACCACTAGAGTATGTAATGTTGAAGGCAAAGTGTGGCATGTTATGGGTAAAGCAAGGTATGTGGTTAGCTGTGCTCTGCATAGCCCTTCCACGTTATATCTACATTTGCAATACTGTGGAAATGCACTACTGCAAATTTTTAATTTTGGTGCTGTTGTATGGGGTTAGGGTTTTTTTTTTTCTGTAAACCAAATTTAAATGAACATCTTTTTAAAGTGTGTGGGTTGCATATATTGGACAATGTGTCATTGGATGGTTTGGTAAGCTACATAAATTGGGAAAAGTACAGTATATAGGACTTTGACAGTGGATGGGAGTGCTGAAGTGTGTGACATTGGATGTCCATAGTGAACTGCATAATATTGTATAGATGCAGGGAGGGGTAGAATGTGAGATGAGCACCATGAACTGTGTAATAATGAATGGGGTTAGTAAGATACAGTATATGACGTAGGATGGCAGCAATAACCTAAAACATGATCAGGTAGGAAATACATGAAATTAAGAGAATTGGTAATACCATGAAATGTATTAGGCGTAAAAAGGGAAAGTGTACAGTCAGTCCATAAATATTGGGACATCGACACAATTCTAACATTTTTGGCTCTATACACCACCACAATGGATTGGAAATTAAACAAACAAGATGTGCTTTAACTGCAGACTGTCAGCTTTAATTTGAGGGTATTTACATCCAAATCAGGTGAACGGTGTAGGAATTACAACAGTTTGCATATGTGCCTCCCACTTATTAAGGGACCAAAAGTAATGGGACAATTGGCTTCTCAGCCGTTCCATGGCCAGGTGTGTGTTATTTCCTCATCCCAATTACAATGAGCAGATAAAAGGTCCAGAGTTCATTTCAAGTGTGCTATTTGCATTTGGAATCTGTTGCTGTCAACTCTCAAGATGAGATCCAAAGAGCTGTCACTATCAGTGAAGCAAGCCATCATTAGGCTGAAAAAACAAAACAAACCCATCAGAGAGATAGCAAAAACATTAGGCGTGGCCAAAACAACTGTTTGGAACATTCTTAAAAAGAAGGAACGCACCGGTGAGCTCGCAACACCAAAAGACCCGGAAGACCACGGAAAACTGTGGTGGATGAGCGAAGAATTCTTTCCCTGGTGAAGAAAACACCCTTCACAACAGTTGGCCAGATCAAGAACACTCTCCAGGAGGTAGGTGTATGTGTGTCAAAGTCAACAATCAAGAGAAGACTTCACCAGAGTGAATACAGAGGGTTCACCACAAGATGTACACCATTGGTGAGCCTCAAAAACAGGAAGGCCAGATTAGAGTTTGCCAAACAACATCTAAAAAAGCCTTCAAAGTTCTGGAACAACATCCTATGGACAGATGAGACCAAGATCAACTTGTACCAGAGTGATGGGAAGAGAAGAGTATGGAGAAGGAAAGGAACTGCTCATGATCCTAAGCATACCACCTTATCAGTGAAGCATGGTGGTGGTAGTGTCATGGCGTGGGCATGTATGGTTGCCAATGGAACTGGTTCTCTTGTATTTATTGATGATGTGACTGCTGACAAAAGCAGCAGGATGAATTCTGAAGTGTTTTGGGCAATATTATCTGCTCATATTCAGCCAAATGCTTCACAACTCATTGGACGCTGCTTCACAGTACAGATGGACAATGACCCAAAGCATACTGCAAAAGCAACCAAAGAGTTTTTTAAGGGGAAGAAGTGGAATGTTCTGCAATGGCCAAGTCAATCACCTGACCTGAATCCGATTGAGCATGCATTTCACTTGCTGAAGACAAAACTGAAGGGAAAATGCCCCAAGAACAAGCAGGAACTGAAGACAGTTGCAGTAGAGGCCTGGCAGAGCATCACCAGGGATGAAACCCAGCGTCTGGTGATGTCTATGCGTTCCAGACTTCAGGCTGTAATTGACTGCAAAGGATTTGCAACCAAGTATTTAAAAAGTGAAAGTTTGATTTATGATTATTATTCTGTCCCATTACTTTTGGTTCCTTAATAAGTGGGAGGCACATATGCAAGCTGTTGTAATTCCTACACCGTTCACCTGATTTGGATGTAAATACCCTCAAATTAAAGCTGACAGTCTGCAGTTAAAGCATATCTTGTTTGTTTCATTTCAAATCCATTGTGGTGGTGTATAGAGCCAAAAATGTTAGAATTGTGTCGATGTCCCAATATTTATGGACCTGACTGTATATGCATATATAGAGATAGGACTGAACATAATTGTGTAACCCCTTATCCTCCTTTTAGGCATAACAGTTCGGCATGAAAACAGTAAGCAATCTATCCATAAAATGCTGATGTCTAAATTGCAGAAATATCTTTGTGTATATATATATATATATATATATATATATATGTGTGTGTGTTGTGTGTGTATTATCCCAGATCTGCACTATACAGCCTTGCGCAGCGGGCAGTGTTAAGTCTCAGATCAGAAATACATATCAGTTGTTTGTTTTTTGTACATAGTAGTTGACATTTTTATGCAGTGATTGCTTGCTCTTTAGCTTTTTTGGAGTTCATTAACACTTCAAGCTTCACAGGATGAATTCCAAAATGTCATGCTGTTTTCATTGTAATTAGCTTACAGGTCAGCTTAATGAGTTGCTTAAGACATCATAAAGAGGACGTACTGAGTGTTTATTATTTTTAAAGAACATCTACATAGACAAAGGAATAACATGATGTAACATCACTACCAGCTATATAGCAGATGTGAAGTGTAGATGTATACAAACACGCATACGAATCCCGCAAGGAAGAGGAGTAGAGTGAAGAGGATAGTATACACACAGCTGAGGACTGCCAAGTTTCTATGGAGTTTGGTCCCAAGCAGAGCCATTGTGACTGCAAACTTCAGCTGCCCTGGAATTCAAAGATTTAGTTTTCTTAAACAACAATATATAGTTCTAAAAACCACTGCGATATAACACTACATTTTAGATTTGTAGTTTTATTTTGATTTAAGATTATTCAGTTGGCATGCAGTGCCCCTTCCTAACCTGCAGATGGCAACATTGCATATTTTGTCTACAAGAATTACCTTTATCTATTATTATTATACAGGATTTATATATTGCCAACAGTTTGCTCAGCGCTTTACAATATATCAGGGAAAACAATACAGCAATGATACAGTTCAATACAAAAGGGTTAGGAGGGCCCTGCTCCTTTCTATGCATATTATTGGGAGTTGTGGCACCTGTGTGCTAAAACAGGCAATATATATTTTCTATAAAAAATATAAATAGCAGCATCTGAAAAGCTTTGTGATTTTCACAGAGAACTGTCTTAAAGCGTAGTTCCATTGAATAAACAAAAATAAAAAGCTACGAAAAGCTGCTAAAATATAGATACTTACCTGTCCCTCAGTCCAGCGGACCTCACCATGACTGATTTCACCGGCCATCTTCTCTCCCTCAGGTTGGCATCTTCTGTGTGAACACCCAGCTGTGACAACTTATGGGTGCCCACCGCGCATGCGCGAGTAGCGCTACACTTTGTGAATGGTCCCGTAGTCTTTTCCTGTCACGTGTCCCAGAAGACTATAGGGAGAACAACTTCCAATCGCCTTAGGTGATTGCAGTGGGAGTGGGTACCTGTCAATCTTTAATGGGGAGCGGGGGACAAAGGCTTAAAGCGGAACTTCCTCTTTTGGGTGGAGCTCCGCTTTAAAGCCTGCCATTCTGGTTTTTAGTAGTTTTGCCTTTACGCAGAAAGCTTTAAAGCCAGGCAACAAGGCATCAAGCATTTTCAGAAGGAGATCAGCAATGGCAGCCTACTCATTTCTGTCAGTTCAGGTTCTATTGAAAGAAAAAAAACATTTTGAAAGTATGATCTGTGTTGCCCAAATAGCTTTCTGGTTGAAACTACTTTCAGCAGTGCAGGTGTGTTGTAGCTTGGTGTCAGGGCCACTTTCTAGATGAATTAATGAATTAATGATGAAAAAATGGTGAACTGACAAGGCTGCCCATTGCTGCTGGCACAAAGCGCGATCCTCAACACCAGCACAATAAAAACGTTCCGATAAAAAGAGTTCCATAGGCTACAATCACATTTTTCTTTCCTACACCTTTATATTTCAGCCCCATTGTTATCAATGCTCTCTACAATACCAGGATACTCACAGGTGCTTCTTTTTGTTTCTCTGGCCTGCAGATTCTTGTCAGTGTTCCATGTTCTTTTCACAAATCATCCCCCTTCTATCTGGCCAGCAATCAGCAGGGGCTAATCACAGCAAGGTCACATGACAACTGGCAGGGCTCAGCTCTTTCATCCTCTGCAGGAAATTACACTCTGTACAGGATTACAGACATATTTCTCAGATAGAAACTGGGTCTGCAAATAACTTTATCCTTTTAGGATTTATTTAAGTCCTTTTACCAATATAAATTATCATGCCTGCACAATAAGGAAGAGCACAGTGACCCAAGAGTAACCAATCGGAATTATGTTTTATTTATTTCACTCTAAAAAAACAAAATCTACAGGGTAAAGCAGTTTGTATTCCAACATTGCTCTTTGGAACTTAATGAAAAGGAACCAAACTAAAAAATGCCGATTTTTGCTATTTTATAGAAATGTCTACAAATGTTAATTGTTTCTAAGCAGTACCCAGAAAAATCTACCTTTGGCTTGAATTTCTCTTTAAAAACAGTGTTTGAGTGTGCCTATGCTCTCCTGTGCCTACAGCCTCATAAATATATATCAGCAGTGTGAGATCTAAGCATGATTGCTGGCCGATGTGACCCGTTGCTTCCC